AGTTTGGGGGAGGTTTTACCGTTTTGAATTTTCAATTTAAGTACCTTTTTATTTAAGTTCGGTAAAAATCACGTCGAATTCGCCCCATAGGAAGACCATAATTTTTTCTTGTGAAGGTTAAGTGTGTAAGGTAGTTAAGAAAGTATTTAGAGTTCAAGGGAAGAGGAGTTTGAGCTATGGAACTTGGGAAAGTTTGGAAAATGAAGGTATAATTTGAACACCCTAGGTTCTCCGGAGTAAGGAAACGAGTCCAACATGTAGATTTGTGCCATAGTACTGGGATTCGAGAAGTATTCCCCGATTAGTTCATTGTGATAGTCTGACATGATTGAAAGAATTGTATATGTTGATTTTGAGAATGACTTGTGGCACCAAATTTTTTTCTTTCAATAATGACGGCAAAGACAACCTGTCCTTCTAAGTTGGGTAACCCTCACCAGGTTATTTAGCCTAACGGCGGTTGAATCTCTATAGTCGTCCCAAAGTGGACTAATAAACACCTGTGAGCGAGAAAAAGAATAAAGGTGCCACTGAAAAAGTCTCAAGAAAAATTGTACATGCCTTAATTGGATTATCCGAATGAAAGGGGTAGAAAATCGAAGAAAAGACTTAAGCCCAAAGCATAGTTGGAGAGGTGGCCGAAAGGGGGATTTAGGTCTGTGGTTTTACTGCAGTGTGTGTTTAAGTAATGCCTTCGTTGACGGATGAGTACCGAGAGATCTGGTTTGAGCCGATCAGAACTAAGACTCACGTATGAGTATCGACACGCTTTATGTCCTGAGCCTTTCACTTGATGAGCTGTCTGATTTGAAAGTTTTAATCCAAGCTTTTTGCTTGAGGACAAGCAATGGTTTAAGTTTGGGGGAGTTTGATCGGTGGTTTTTACACATTATTTTACCGTTTGTTTCAGTTAATATATTGTTATGTCTTATCGCATTTTATTTGTTTGTATTACATTTTACGCGTCGATTTGGTGTTTTCACTGTCTCTAGGTTCAGGTAAACAATAAAGGAGAAACATAGCGAAAACCGGGGAAAATGGCGAGATTTCAGAAGAGTTTTGAGGTGGATCAGTAGCCTGACACAGCTGCCCGTGTCCCATGACACGATCCGTGTTGCAGGACCTGAAGAAGAAGAACACGCCCAAGACTTGAAGAGGAAAACTAGCAAAACAGACGTGCAACACGGGTGTCTGTGTCCCATGACACGACCCGTGTTGCAACCCCTGAAGATGAAAAGTTTTTTCCACAAGTCAGCAGCCTAACACGGCCCGTGTCAGGGCTACTGAAAGTTAAATGATTTTATTTTGTGTTTTCTGCTGACTGTGCTATCTCAGAGGGCAGTTTGGACATCTCGCGTTGCAATTTGAATTTTTGATATATTAGACGGATCGTGAATGGAAAAAGGACTTTTTGGAGAGAAAGAAATTTCACGAGAAAGATTGGAGCAATCAAGGTGTTGGGAAACTGAAGGTCCTCATGAGCGTAAGCGATTGAAGATCAAAGCAACCAATTATCTTGTAATGTTTAATCTTATTGTTGATTTTATCTGTATTATTATGAGTAGTTAAACCCCCCAATGCTATGGGGTGTCCCTGAATTGACTCTGTAATGACCTTGTTTCCTTTGAATAATGGATTTCACTGCTTTCTAATCATCGTTGTTATTGTATAATTTTCTTATGGCTTTTCTTATTTTACAAATGAGGATTTGATTTATGGTTAACCTTAGGTTTGGAAAAACGATCGTTAACGCGTTTATACGATAATACTATTGTAGATATTGCCTAGGAATGAGGATACCCTATAGTAACCGTAATGTTTTAGATAAAGTATATTGCTTGGGATTGTTCCTATACCGCCAAACAATTGGGGCATAGGAAGAATACCAAAGGGTTGTCTGCTAAGGAATTAGAGTCAAATAATCTTTAAAACCGGTAACAATCGAATTGAGCAGTGATTTCTGAAAATTAAGGACTAAGGTTATTACAAGGTCTTTTCATACACCCTACCCTAGCATGCTTCTCATAACTGTTTAAAACCTTTATTTTACTGCTTTTTCCATCTGGCTTGATAACTCTAAAGAAACAAACCAAAACTATATGACTTTTTGTTCAAGTGCATTATTATAGAACTTGTATTTACACGCAGTCCTCAGATATCGATATTCGGAGAATTTTCCCTTATTACTACATCGGTAAAAATAATACACTTGCTATTTTCCGGTCAGCTTGGAAGGCCAAAAAAGAGAAGAAATTTAGATCAGGATGAGATTGATGGTTCAGACCAAAAAATGAGAATGACTGTTTCAGTGTTAGGTGTAGCGGATGTAAGAAACCAGGTCACAACAAACTTACTTGCAAGGTAACATCATATAGCCACTAGCCATCCCAACAACCATCAACACAAGCTTCACAAGGAGTCACTTATAAATCCCAATAGTCATCCCAACAACCATCAAAGCAACCATCCTAACAACCATAAACACAAGCTTCTTAATGAGTCAGTCATGCATCCCAACAAGTTACACAAAGACCAAGCAATGCATCACAACAATCATCTGATGGAAGGGTAGCAAAACAACCAATTAAGAAGGGCCAATCATCTACTTCAGTATCTCAAGCATCTCATTGAAGGGCTAATAAGTTACCTATCATAAGACCAACTAAGCCTTTTATATCACTGGGACCTACCATAAGACTGAGTGCAGCCAAGACTGCTATTGGGGCAACAACAAGAAGATCAACACCTACTAAGAAATCAACACCAACTAAGAGATCAACACCAACTTGGAAAATTTAGTTTAAGTCTGTGGCATTTTGTTATGTTCATTTTGTTAGTTTAAGTTCAAACCTTTACCACTTTGTTATTCTATGTCTGTTATCTGTCATAAGTTATGACTTGTGTATTTTGGCTATGACTTGTATAATTTGTCACAATCTATCACTTATGTATTTTGGGTATGACTTGTGTAATCTATCAAAAGCTATCACTATGTATTTTGGCTATGGCTTATGGTTTCAATGTTATCGTATTTTGAATTATGGAACATCTTATGGAACAATGCAACAAATTGTAACAGCTGATACAACAAATTGTGCAACTGGTACAAACTGTAACAACTGATACAACAAATTGAATTGTGGAACATATTATGGAACAATGCAAAAACACATCCACAACAAATTATAACAACTGTTATAAACAATACAAACAACTGATACAACAAGTTCTAAAAATTAATACTTGACTATTCATTTCAAATGCTACATACTGATACAAACAGGTGATATGAATCTAATACTTGTCTATTCATTTCAAATTGAACAAACTGGTACAAACTGATACAAATAAAATGTTTCCCTAATTCATTCTAAAAACTACTACAATTATAATCACAACCAACATCAAATTCCAAAGTTTTTTCCACTTCATAATTTTCTTCATTTTCCTTTCAAGATTGATCAATTGTTGCCCAAGTTCTTCATTCACCATTTTTTCTCCCGCAACTGCCTTTTATAGCTTTTCAATTATATCCATCCAAAACTGCTCATTCTCATCTCCACCATCTTCATAAAATCAACCAAAGAAACCCTACCCAATTTACATAGATCCTTGTAAAATGCATAGGCTATAATTCAAATAGTTATAACAACATGTGTTTTCAAAGTAGAAACATCAACTTTACATGAAACATACCTTATAATTAGGACAACATCAGAAATATTTTTCATAGTTCTTAATAGTTCTTGCCCTTCAAAGAACGACCAGGTCCCCACAATGACATAAGGGTTTTCAAACGGAGCTTGTTTACAGATTCAAACTTCCTTCGAAGAACAACCACCTTCTGCATTTTTCTGTTTCGACAATGACGAAGATCCACTTGATTTCATGCATGAATCTCTATCTCCAGTTTGTTTGCCCTAACCCTATGTCAAATTTGTGAATCATTTTGGGGCTGAAATGAACAACGCCAACGTCTTAAGGAAGAAGACGATCCAACATGCCAACTCATCAGCCACGTCTGCACACATTACCAGACCTTTGAGGGTCATTGACGAAAACAACCAATATGACACCAGTTAAAAACTTAAGGGATGACTTTGGAATTTTTTATAATTAAAAGACCAAATTGGATCCCGAAGTAGACTTAAGCGACCAATTTGGATATTTTGCCTTTTATTTTTTATACAACAATAATTATATTTTTTCAATATGTTTGTAAATGTTAAAACTACTTGTAATAAAAAACAAAGTAATATTAATTTTTATCTTTTTCATAAATAATGTTAAATGAAAAATATATAAATATAAGACGATCAAAATTTGAAAGAGAATAATTGTTATACACTATCAATGTAAAATATTTTGTACAATCATTTTGAATTTTATTATGTTTTTATTAGATTAGATTTTTTTGAAGTTAAAATCAATTTCAATCACACATTCACATGTTAATAATCATTTCAATCACACATTCACATGTTGATCAACATTTGATTTAAAACTAATAATTTTGAAAATCATAAACTAAAACTAAATTCATTTTTTTTAACAATGCGATCAAAATAGCATATAACACTTTGAGAGCATGAATGTGGGAAAAACAAATCAATTACAATATATTCATTTTCGTGTTTATTCTAGTCTAGAAAGAATAGATCAATTGACTTGTTACGAAAAAAAATTCTCAAATTGACCATGTTAAAAAAGCATGAGCCCCGCCTGGAATTTTCCGAGTGATTGAACCCACTAGAAATTAGCCAAATCATCTATCAACCACCCAATAGAAATAAGCCACATCAGGACAAAACACGTGTTTTCAACAAAACACACACAAGCGGTAAATGAAAATAAATAAAATAGCACAACGCACAAAAACCCCGAACCCAATTCATCACCATCATCCTCTGAATCAAACTCAGATCTGAAAATCACGTTCGATTAGGTTACTATTTACTATTATTATTCTGTAAATTGTTGCGCCACTATAGAACTTGGCCATGGCTGCGCCATTTTTCTCAACGCCTTTTCAGCCTTATGTTTATCAGGTAATTACAGATTTTTTTTTTAATCTTTCATTGCCTTCAATAATCTGCTTCTGTTAACCTAGATTCTGTAATAGCTATGGTGAAATTGGAATGTTCCTGAATTTTCTGAAATTGATTTTAAGTTTTGCAATTAATACTGATCTTTAGTTAGTTTCATAAGTTTGATTTTGTTCTATGATCAACAAAGTTCTGCGTGAGTTTTCGATCGTGGTAATTTACTCTTTGGTTGATGGAGCTTGTACATTCTACAGTGTTCATTTGCTCTTTTCAATTATCCTTTACAATCTCACGATGAACTTTTTTTTTTGTAATGTTGTTTAGAGCCAACAAGATGCAATAATCCCTTTTCAGATTTTGGGAGGTGAAGCTCAGGTAGTTCAGGTATATGTGACTATCCTGAGTCTTAATGTCAATCTTTTTGTCTTTCTTTTAATATTATCAACAATTTATACTTATGTAACACCGTGTATCACTTGGTTCGTGTAATACAGATAATGTTGAAGCCACAAGAAAAAATCATCGCAAAGCCTGGTAAGCTGTTTGGTACTTTTATTCACAGGTCTTGAGAATTTTTCCAATGACAGCATTCTTTGCATACTTTTATTCTCAGTCATTTTGAAGGCTAAATATAGTTCACATGCTTGAACATGGTATTGCTACAAACATGATTCTTTTGATAATAATGCTTGCAATGGAAACTTAGGTCTATTTTGCATCCCGGTGTTTGTCTGTTCAACATGGCCAATAATCGTCATGACACATGAGCGTCATTTGGGGATGAAATAACATCTCATTTGGTTTGCATATAGATACAATAATCGTTTTTGGCATAAACATAGTGTTCTTCCTTCATATATACATACATAACTTACAGTTGGAATTGTGGAGCACACCTACCAATATTTTTAATTGAATCTGTATGCTATGGCAATTGTAGGTTCCATGTGCTTTATGTCTGGATCAGTTGAAATGGAAAATGCATACCTTCCAGAAAATGACGTAGGCATATGGCAGTGGTTGTTTGGCAAAACTATATCCAATATTGTTGTTCGTAATTCTGGACCAAGTGACGGGTTTGTTGGAATTGCTGCGCCTTATTTTGCTAGAATTCTCCCGGTTTGTACCCACATCTCTAAATTGTTTAAATATTGGATTGTTACATCTCTTGCTTCAAATTAAATTTCAAAACCCATCATTTGTGTCTATCTGGCTGAAATTATTTCATATATGACTATGTGTTTGCTACTTATCTGAATACAGATTGACTTGGCAATGTTTAATGGAGAGATCCTGTGTCAGGTATATCCAATAAATGTTGTTCAGATTGATTTCAAATAGTAAAATTTGATGTCTATGGATTTACTGGTTGGTAATCATTAATTTTTAATCTAAGGACCAGAATACAAACCAACTTCATTTTGAATTTTCTGTAGCCTGATGCATTTTTGTGCTCGGTCAATGACGTGAAGGTCAGCAACATAGTTGATCAAAGGGGGCGTAATGTTGTTGCTGGGGCTGAGGTGAGTTATTTAGGATATTTGAGATGTTTCCTATAATTTCCTAATAACTCATGCCTCATTCGGGGTGGTTTTCTGTTTTCAAATGGTATACTGGATAAACTTTACTATAGTCATTCTGTGTAGGCTGCAATGTCTACAGTGTTCTCTCATATTATCTACCACCAAATTTAGCACATGGTTTTTGCATTTGAGATTTTGTTTGTAATTTTTCCTGGAAATCATTATAAACTTTGTCAGTCATATTTCTTCCAACATAATATGTTTTATATTGTAAAACAAATGTGGAAGAAGTTATAGTATCCTTGTCATGCATATATATTACTTCTCTAAAACCATGTTCATATTATAGGCATTTTTGAGGCAGAAGTTATCCGGCCAAGGGCTTGCATTCATACTAGGGGGTGGATCCGGTATATTTTCTTGACTTGTATACATATTTATAGCATTATTTTTTTTATTTTGGTTTCTGTTGCAACTCATTCCTCCTTCCAAATCCATCGTCTTTAAAAGCCATTCTGATAAGGTCCACCTTTTGAGTATTTTTTGTTTTCTTTATTACTGTACTCCTGTAGTATTTCTCATTGGATTGCTCTTTTGGATTCTCTTCATTGTTAGTTGTACAGAAAAATCTTGAGGTCAGTGAAGTTCTAGCTGTTGATGTTTCTTGCATTGTTGCTGTGACGAGTACAGTCGATATCCAAATAAAATATAATGGTCCTGCAAGAAGGACAATGTTTGGAGTAAGTAGCTTCTATTTCTGAAGTATTTTCATCTTCCACAGTAAACACCGTTCTTGTGTACTATTCTTTTTTGTGTGGGCTCATGTAATGTGCTTGGTTGTCGCAGTAGAAACTTCTTATTTAAATGTTTCATAATAGTTCATCAAAATTTACATATATGTTTTCATAATAGCACTTAATAAACTATTTGGTTAACTCCAAAGGAAGTTAATTCTCTCCCTCAATAATTGCAGTATCCAGTTCCAAGTTTTTATGCTCATCCCTGAAGACTTCACTAGCTGATAAATGTCAGTAGTAAACTTTGTTACTAAGTGGATGTAATATACCTTGGAGGAAATTGAGAGTTTACATTACTAAACCTGCTAGTAAACTTTGCCCTGTGTTAGTGCAGCTTGTCAGTTGTTTCCTTTTTGGACCTAAGCTCTCATCTATGTTAGGAGAGAAGGAAGGGGGTAAATAGAGAAATAAGTTAGTTGAATAGTTGGTTAGAATGTCTTCGGGTAAGTAAATTTAGAGAAATTAGGGAGTACAAGGGTATATCAGTTTGATAATTAGGGGAAATAAGGATGGAAGGATTCATTAATAATATAGAGAGGGATGGGGAACGGTTTGAGGGAATGAGGGGGAGGTATGACATGTTTCTCAAACAAGGTGGGAGGGGAATGTGAGGAAGGATAAACTCCCACCTTGTTTGAGAAACATGTCATACCTCACCTTTCATACATTAAGCATCTTGAATCATGGTTGTTAGGATTGAGCTTTAACTCCCAAAAGCGTACGATCTTATGCTCTGGAAACCGTCCACCGCTTTAAGTGGCAGAAAGATAGTAGAATTAGCTGGAGCGATGAAAGCGTAGAGGAAGATCGCAAAATCGTGGGATCGTGAAATCCCAACGATTCATTTTTTATTTTGATCCGTTTTGACCTGGCCCAGAACTGACCCGTTAATTAAATCTGACGGCAGCGCTGGCATATTTTAGGGTTTTGGGAGTTGGAATTATTTAAATTTCTTTTGAAAACGGCAGAAATAATTATGGTGAAAGGAGTGCAGCCAAAAAAAACATTGGAACTCTGATAATGAATTCTGAAACGACTAATCAATTGATGGTTGGATTTCTTCTCTTCATCTATTTCTTCTATAAATTCAAATCAAATCATTCAATTCTTCTCATCTTTTCTGTCCTTGCTCTCCAATACCTCTTCCTTTTTTACAAAACAGAGCTTTTAAAAAAAAAAATCACAATGTCTTAGTTTTTTTGGATTGGATATTTGCTGTTACGAATATTATGTATGAGAAAGTTTTTTGGATAGAATATTTGCTATTATGATTAAGTTAATGAGAATTTTATGTTCAGTTAATTTTCCTAGTTATTTCTATAATTTTGTCTATTTGTTGGGATCTTACGATTCGAGTTACGATTACGCGTATTCCATATCCTAACATGTTTAACAAGATCCCGAATTTGACAACCATGTCTTGAATCGATCATCCAAAATGTTGGAGAATATTAGGATATGTAAAACATAGGATTCAAATAGAATGCCCCTCGAGTTTACGAGGAAATGCAAGTAATGTAAAGGTCTATGAGACCAAAAGTGAGACAGTAAAAATTACAACAGATGAGTAGTTACACAGGACACTATATGATTATGAATAAAAGTATTAGAGAGAAGCTAGATAAAACATGTTGTGGAAAAAATCTTAGTCTCACCTGAGTTGATTTAGACACCTACAGAAAATTCTAACAATGAGGCAACTTTGACAAAAATTTCTCTAAGATAAGAGATAGAGAGAGAATGAAGAAAATTATAGGTCAAAACTATTAGGAGGATTTAGATTTAAATGGATTACTACTAAAAGTTATTTATGATAAAGCATCAGTAGCCTTTTTGTACACCGCATAGTATTGTACGAACCTCCCCACCATTTCTCCCTTGATATTGGATTCCTGTCAAAATGCATCTTAACTTTCCCGAGAGTTTTATACATATGATTGTGATCTTGAAATTACAGGGCGACAATGCGGTAACAGCTTTTCTAACTGGACCGGGCATTGTGTTCATACAAAGTTTACCCTTTCCTCGTTTCTCTCAGCGAATTGCTAGGTAATCACTCTTCTAGTTACAAAATGTAATCAAAACAATTAAATTACTGCCATGGATTGTTTAATGATTTTATTATAATATGATGATTCATGGTCTGATTTTCAGGGCGGTGACATCGCCTAACATGAGGGAAAATCCAAAGTTTTTCGTACAGATTGCCCTTTTCTTTTTCCTGGCCTATGTTGTCATTGTATCTTCATTAATATTGACAGATGTATGAATTACACTTTTTAGTTTTTGTTGACTATTATTATAGGTAGGTGGTTCCCTGGATTCCTATGTCAATATCGGATTTCTTTTTGGCAGATCATCTTTGCCATTTTTTATAGATCTAAAGTGTAATAATATGTTTATCACTAAAATAGAATTAATTTTATTTCATTAGTAGACCGATGTGTAGAATGACTTTGCCGTTCTATTATGAGTTGGGAGTTTTTCAGCTTTTCAATTATATTATCAGTACCAGTCATATAGTTTAAAGAAGATTTTAACGAAAATCACATAAAGTTTAACCGTGGCATTTTTAGCCCTATATATAGGGTTTAGGAATTAGTGACGTGTTTTCCCGAAAAAGTATTTGAAAGTGGAAGCCTTTGATATTATCTGTTTTTTCTTTGATCTTTTTGCACCGTATTGTCTTTTCTTTCTCCATAGTATCTTTTTCTTTTTTCTCCATTTTTTATCATTCTTGTGAAGTGGTGAATAGTATTTAAAGCATCGATGATTGCTGATCATTGATAAATTATGACTATCGGTGATTTATCACATTTGCAAGTACAATATATGTTCTCCTATTTTTTCTACATTTTCCACTAACCAAGTACGAGCATTTTTTTGAATTTTGCTTTATTATATGTGCACAAAAATCTCTTTGTTTGATCTAGAGATTTGTTAATTGACCTGATTCACAGGTCTTTTTTGACAATATCTTAATCATACGTAGAAGTAGAACTCTCTTTCACTACAAATGGTAGACTTTGTTGACAGAATTCTTGAATGCAGAATTGTGTAGCTAATGTTAGGAGAGTTTGAACTTTTGCGAGGTATGTTGCTCCAGAGAACGTTTGCTATGAATATTTGAGATTTTTTGACCTAGGTGCCCTACTTTGAAAACAATAATACCAAACTACCCTAGTTTGAAAAGTATTTACGTGAGTGCCCCAGTTTTGCATGAGTTCGTCCAAGAGAAGGACGAACTAGTGAATAGGTTGAATGTGTTCGTCCATTGAATTGGCGAACTTGTAGGAGAAATTTTAGGAGTGTGAGTTCGCCCATTGAAAGGGCGAACTTGTGAGGGGTTTGTTTTTTTTTTTGTTTTTTAATTTTTTCAGATTTTTAAATAAATATATTTAATATTTTTAATTTCATTAATATTAAAAATATTTAATACTTCAAATATATATCATTAATGATGGAAAAAATTATTTAACTTGAAACATAAAAAATCTATTTAATTAAATTGGGAGTATTTTATTTTTGATTAAATTAATCTACTCTTTAACATGTGAAAACTATTTAATATAAAACTTATAAAATCTATTTAATTAAATTGATATAAAATATATTTAATAAATTTTTAAATATAACTATTTAATATAACACTATAAAATATGTTGAATTAATTTAATAATAAACGTATCTAATTAATTGAACAAATAATTGATAAGAATAAAATTTCAAGATTTAATAGTTACAACAAAATTGATTACTTAATTATACATATCATCGAATATGACCCCCAGTTCCACACCTAGGGGCCCTTCTCTGTCGGTGTCCTCTCCCCAAACGCTCGTTTGCAGATGACTGAGACGAGTCAGAAGACAAATCTTCATTGTGATGTGTTGTCGGGGGGTTTGTCTGCCTTGTAGAGGGTCCTGATTCATCATCTAGAATATCGTCGATGTTAAAATCTGGCATCTGCATCAATTGCTCCTCTGTCAGTAAGAATTGTTGGAATGAATGTGTTGGTTGTGGTGGTTGTGGGTAGGTTTCGGCTTGGCTTTGTTGAACGGTTGGGATGTAGACGTCATTAGGCGTGAAGGCGGTTTGTGAGAAGGTAGTGTTGAAGGTGGGATTTGTAGGATATTGGAAATAAGGGTTGCTCTGGTCAAAGTTTGGGGTTGGGCATGGGGTGAACAGTCTGGGTGGTCGGAGGTAGGGTTGGGGCTGATATTGTTGGGTGAACTGGGGGAAGTTATAGTTATGCTGAGCTGACGAGGATGGGTACCCCCAAAATTGAGAGGTGGTGGTTGGGGGGGCATCCGGATGCATTGATGCGGCAGTTGGTTGTGTCGATGATGATGGTTGCGTCCGAGGGTCGGTCAGAAATTGATCCGGAGCAACATGGACATAAGGAATTGCGCGGAACCAAGTTAAGTACTGTTGACTTGGCTTGCGTTCACCTAATACAGAGTCCCCCTGCAAAATCACTTGTCTTCTGTGTCTCCATTCTCGAACCTCGTCCTTATTTAACTGTTGCCAATGAACCTTTTGCGCTTTTCGCATGGTCATTGCGTGTTGATCCTTTAGACACTTAGGAAGGGGAGGGACTTGTTGGTCTACTCCAAACTGGAGTGTTACCCTATCTGTTTGATGCATCTCAACGATGTAAAAACAAATAAGGTACGTTGTGGCACTCCAGATTTGGCTATCTTCTAGACGCGGGACCGGGTACTGAATGTACGGCCTCCATATAAACTGTCATATAAAAAAGAAAATTAAGATGCCATTTAATTTAATAACCGACCACGAATTTAAGTTGGTTTGAAACTTACGTCTTTTTCTTGCATGTGGTCCAAGGCGTTACGATATCCTTGAAGATGGAAACGAGGAGTTGCACGGTAATTCATTCCTCTTTGCGCCCATCTTGCAAAATACAAAACAAAATAATGTTAGACATATTTGAATAAGAAATATGTATATTTTTTTGTACATAAATATGAGTACAATATTACATGAATACCTTTGTGCATATGGATACGAGGGTTCCACCGTGCTGACAGGAGCGAACAATGGGATGCGTGTGAATGCCCAAGAAGTTAGTAGGAGAGCACAACCACTCATGCTCCTAACTTCTTTTTCTGCTGCCTTGCACATTTCTCTGTACAATTTTGCAAGACATGCAGAACCCCAACTATATTTTCCACATTCAATGAGATCCCCCACAAAAGGGACCCAAGAAGAATGCAAAAGGTTTTGTGTTTTGTCAGGAAACAAAATTGTTGCGATAACAAGTAAAATAAATAATTTGGCTTCTAATAAAACATCTTCCTGAGTCGGGTGTTCTTTGTTTTTTAAATTTTCATACTCACTTTCAAGCCAAGTTATCCTAACAAAACCTTTCATTTTATCTTCTTCTTTTGGTTCCTTACCCAAGTAATCCATGTAAACAGAATTTGTTACCTCGGTGGGACCGTTGATAGCTTTGCCATCAACTCGTAGACCTAGTAACATACATGTATCTTCAAGGGTTATGGTGCATTCACCTGTCGGGAAATGAAATGTGTGGGTCTCGAGTCTCCATTTCTCCAATAGAGCAACAACTAGGCTTGAGTCGATTTTCAAACTGTTTATTTTTGAAATGTTTGCGAATCCTGCGATCTCAAGATAAGGCATTATTCTATCATTCGCTCGAATAGGAGAATGTGAATGCACCCTAAACCTAGGGGCATTAATCTGCAACAACATTAAACAAACATTAGTTAGTCACAATTGTTACGCCGAAATAATAATTTGACAAAGAACAACATATAGAATTTGAAAAACTTACATTGTTATTGATATTTTGTTGTGTTCCACGGTGATCATCGCCCATCCATAACAATGACATTTTAGTCGGGTAAAAATTTATAGATAGTAGAGGAATAGAAATGAGAATTGTTATGAAGTAGAGAGAATTAGTAAAAATGTTGTGTAAATTTTGGAGGTAAATAATTTGAATATATAGTAGTATGTATGAGAATAAAATATTAGAGTAAAAAAATTTTAGGTCATAGTATGAAGGGACCTTTGCATGGCACCTAGTCTTATTTTGCATGCATGCAAGGCTAGCCTCATAGACAATGTCGTTTGCATGGGAAACAATTATTTCAGACCCTCACAAGTTCGCCCATAGGTGGGACGAACCAAGAAATACTCTTCACATGTTCGCCCAAGGGTGGGACGAACTAAACATACTCTTCACATGTTCGCCCTTTGGGTGGACGAACCAAAGGCAAGGTTATTGGGAAGTTCGCCCTTTGAGTGGGCGAACTAGTGGTTCTATAATTTTCCAACTCGTTTCCTATGTATTATTGTCTTTGAATCATTTATAATATAAACCACTTTTATGTATCAATTACTACAACCAAACATTCAATCATACACCTCTACAAAATTTCAACCTCCCCAACATTCAATCTTACACTACCAAAAAAAAAAATTAAACTTCTCAAATTTCAAGAGCCAAGATGTCACAGAGAAATATAATTACAACATGTCACTTTAACGGTGTTGTTTCGACAAACACTCCTGTTGGATTCTCGTTCAGCAATACGGATACATACGCCTTCAAAATTCATGTCAATTCAGATTTTTTTCATTTTAAGGATAGAATGGAAAAAAAATTGGCACAAGGCGTCGAGGAAATCATTTATCGCCATCCGACCCTTAATGAAGACGACTGTACGATTTTTTACATTATGACGCCAATAAAAAACGACGACGATGTCAAGGCCATGTTTCGGTGCCACACGATGTTTGGTCAGTTACCAACAATTGAGGTGTATGTCAAACTACAACACAATCCCGAAACATTGCAAACTCAGGAGACCCAGTCACACTGGTACGGGATGAGCCAAACATCCGACGACGAACCAACGCAAAACAATTTACCTTTCATACCAGATGAGGAGGTTGGGGAATCAAGTGATGACGATATTTATGAGGAGATCAGGATGCAAGATATTTTTGGTGACAGTGGTGACGAAGACAATGAGGACGAAGATATAGTTGTCGCGTCTACGCAACCGATCCGCGCACAACCCTTAAGTTTGTACAACCCACCGACACACATGCAAAATATTGATATTGTAGATGACGACACAACCTCCGTGTTTGGAAGTGCTATTCAAAATCATATAGGTGATGAAATAGAGATCGGTATGGAGTTTGAAAACAAAGAAGCCTGCGTTCTCGCACTGCAGCATTGGCACATAACACACTGTTTGGATTATTGGGTGT